GTATTATTTGCTATATTATTATCGTATGTAGTGAGAAGGAGAGCTAGTTAACAAACTAGAGGTTTATAATCTATCGTTTATGAAGGTTGACAAGACCAAATGGTTAAGGGATAAATAGTAGATAGTTATTCTAAGTAAGCGGGACGATATTAATTCCTACTTGAATAACTTTTTAGAGATATGAACACTCGTTTGATATTAAAAATGGATGTAAAGAAGCTCATATTACTAAGCTAACTCTGTAGATTTAGGTCCTAATTATTTTTATTGAGCACGTGTAACTCATGCAAATTTATTTTTCAAAATAGGAGAACCAAGAGCCAAAATAAAAATACCTGGAACAGTGAAAAATCAAAAACAAATATAGGACATTTAGAGACTTTTATAGTAGAATATTCAACATTTAGAACTTTGATGTTTTATCTGATTGTTTAAATGATAGTAATGTTTCCCCTCAGCTTGTCAATGATTTGAATATTCTATTGCCAACAAGAAATGTTGGAATTTAAATAGAAGGAAATCATGTTACATTGACCCATTTAAGTTGAAATTTATTATGGCCTATGTAGATGAACATTCGTGACTTCCCTTACGAGTCAGGGTCGTTATAGTGAACATGTTACTTCTTTGAATGAAATAAATATTTTGAAGTAACCAATTTTTCTCAATTTGAATAGTTACAATATGTTAAAGCTTGATTTAATAATTTTCCTATAAAAATAATATTTTTTTACGACAAAAGTATTAAGTAAAAATCTAAAAACATACACACATGTAATGTTAAATGTATAAAAAAATTAGAGTAAAAATTAGTATGGAAATATAGGCAGATACGCAATTTGTGATTTGTATAGAATTGAGACTCAATCTAATTTGTTAATTTTATCTCCACCAATACACTAATAATTTAATCAATTGATTCTACTAAATTAATTATTATAAATTTGACTATTCTCAATCATAATATACTTATAAAATAATAAATTTTACGTTTTTAATAAAATTTAAATTCGTTATCTTTCATTAAATACTATTACGTGTGAGTATAATCAATATTATTTAAAAAACTTAGTTTACTAATGGTGAGTAAAAATTTTTATTATGTTTGAATTAAAATAAGAATAAACTTTTAAAATAATTTTCATACCAAAAAAAAAAAATGGATTGCTTATAAAAATAGGCTTACAAAATCTTTTTCAGGCAGCACATGATTTTCGATTTGTGGACACGTCCACATGAGACGAACCAACCATCTGGACAAATAATTTCACGTCACCATCAATTTAAAGGTTCTTCTATTTTATTTTATTTTTGTTTTTTTAAATTATTGTTATTTTATTCAAAATAAAATTAAAATAATAATTTTTTTAAAATAAAAAATAAAAAATAAAAAAAAAAAAGAAAAAGAAAAAACACACCTACACTAAGAGCTATATAACAGGTGACTTTATTTATCCACTTTACAACTAAAAAGATACAGTTTAGGATTTAACCATACGCTACATAGCACGAGGAGGGGAAAACTACAACAAAAGTATTAGAAAATCTGCTCAAATTTTCCCCCTAATTTTATCTTAATTTACAACAAAACCCAACCATCCAATGTTTTTCCATTTTTCTCGTGAGCAGTAGATTTCACGCCAGAATATTTGTTACCAAATATTATTTATTTCGTCCCTTAAGTTTCTCTGATTTTCAGATCAACCTCCCGCTTGTAAAAAAAAAATTACAGGAGGTTCCGACCGAAGAAAATCGATAGAGATGTAAGTAAGATAGACGAAATGAAGATAATAACAGTAATTTTAGAAATAAGATGAGAGAAACTGAAAACCGGATCCAGATCTTTTTCATCCGATCCATTTTCATGGAGATCTCAAAAATCGAGACGAAGCAATCGCCTCAAGTCCCGAGTCGCCGAGTCATCGACAAAGACCTCCTTCTTCCTCGAGAATGATGGCAAAGGGAGAGAGCTTGGCACCGGGGAAACAGAAAACGCAGATCCGGCATAAACGTCGGAGTATCCGGCTACGGGATGCTGCTTCAGATCCACGATCCTTATCTGCTTCGGTACCATCTCAGGATCCGGACCAAGCCGCTCAGTTCCTGTCACAGTCAAGCCAGCATCGATATCTTTCCTCGACGAGGAGACGCTGTTCTTGATCATCGAATCAAGCGACTCTCCTCTCCTCAGAATCGTTACCTTCTCCATCACCAGGTTGTTCCTCCCCGCTCTCAAGTCATTGCAGCTCGATTTCCTCGAGATCGACGTCTCTGACTGTGCAGGAGGAGATCCGACCCGCTTCCTCTGATCCGGCCGAACAGCCGGTTTCCGGTTAGGTCTAGAGTTATAATAATTGGAATAATTGGTATAGTTCGAGTTAAAGTTCCCATAGTTACTCCTCCGGCGGTAAAGCGCCGCCGGAGAAACTCTCATGCGTTCGAGTAAACAATCCTGAGGGCGTAATATCTCAGTCCCCATAATTTCCGACAGAGAGAAAAACGAAACTCCTGAAAATTCTAAAAAACAAACAGAGAAAAGAAAGGCAAATCTCCTTTCAGTTGTTCTCCCCGGTCAAGGAATATATATTAGTGGAAATCCAGGCTGCTGCTGCTTCTTCTTCTTCTTCTTCCTAACATGGGGAAAGAAAGGAGGAAGAAGGAAAGGAAAAGGAGAGATAATATAAAATAATCTCTGTGCTTTTTGTTGCTTACATTTTCTTTTTCTTCTTCTTCTTCTTCTTTCTCACTCTTATTGTTATTTAGGGGGGTTTCTCTTTCTCTTTCTTCTTCTGTGTGAAAAAAGAGACGGAGAAGAAGGGGGATATATAGGAGAGGAGGAAAATGGTTGAGAGCGATTTTCCCACCTACGTATTGACGCGTGAGAGATGGGCATTGGGTTAAAGAGGGGACAAGTGGCTGACCTCAAATTTGTAGGAACCTGCCATATAAATTGACCGTTATAACGCCAACTCTTAACTTTCCGTTGTTTTCTTCGCTTCGTCGCTGTCTACCGGTTTTTAAAGGATAACGCCGTTAGGATTGGGGGATTGGTTTGGTAATTTGGTTGCTCCGTGATTATCATTCTCGGTTTATCTGGGTCTTCAACCGGCTTAAATCTGGTTATCAACAGTTTTTGAGGCCTAATTTTTACTTAATGATTATTTAAGTTAGGATTTTTAAATTAGAACTAAAAAAAAAAACTAAAATTTATAAAAATGGTATCCTAAAAATAATGTTTTTACATAAAAATTAGATAATTTGAATTCCAAAAAATGAAACTAAAAGATGCAAATGGTGTATATTATATAGTTTTTAAACTTTATTTTTATGTATAAAATTTAAAAAAAAAAGGGTATTAAGAATATAATAGAAGTACAACCACAGCTCATGCCTCAAAATAGTCAAAGAAATTTTGGAGACTTCTTTTACTTCCTTCATATTTTGACCCACCTAACTTCAATAATCAATAATTTTCTATTAAAATATAAATGAAAGTTGCTTTCACCTAATAAAGAAAGTGGAAATAAAGGGAGAGAAAATTACATAACTCTCCTTCCAATTTAGATCACCTAACAACGACAAAGTAGCTAAAAGTTACATTTACAAGATTTTAAAAGAAGTTTGTCTTTTAAACAAGTTATTGTTTTAATTATTTACAAATTTGTATTCGGGTTTGGTTTAAATTTTAATTTTAAAAACAAAAATTTAGAATATAATATAAATATATCAAGATTTAAATTAAAAATAGTATTTAAACTATTAATCATATATATATATATATATACAACTAAATCTTGAAAACTCTAAACCATAGAATTGTAATTTTTTATATTTTAAATAAATTTTTATGAAAATTCTTAATTTGCACCAAGCCTCAAAATTCCTCCTAATTGCATTCCTCTTACTCTAAGTATTTTTATTATTTAAACATCAAAATAATCATGACCCACCTTGCCATCCATCCTTGAGCCCTTTACCCTATCTTACTTTACTTTTTTTTTTTTTGGGTTGTTTGGCCGGTTGATTGTATTTTAAAATTATTATTAACAAATCCAATATAATTAATATTTTATTTAGAGTATGACATCATTAAGAAGACTAAATATTTACTCTGTAACGATCCCGGAAATTTAAAAAAAAATAGATAATAACTTAAGTGCGGAAGCGAAAAAAAAAATGTTAAGATTTATATTTTTTACACAATAATTTAAAAGTACTAAACGACATTACGAAATTTACCATTTTAAAAGAAACACAATAAATAAGAAAATAAACGAAAAAGAAAAAATATCTAATATTACTCGCAATTTTCTTGCAGATCGAGCTCTGAAACCTGGTCATCTTGATATGAAATGATTAAATAAGAAATGAGCTACACTAACCCAATAAGAATATCACACTATATCACCAACACAGAAATAAAGGTGGATATAAAAATAAAAATAACTAATAGAGCACTAAATTTAGCAAATCCATTTATCAATCATAAAATTATTTACCGTTCACTTACTACAGTGGAATTTATGAAAACAACCTATGCAGACAATAATATCATACGGATCATAATTTCATATAAGATCAGTAACATAACACATATCATAAATCTATACACATCATCAAATAACCAAACAATAACTGTCACCTTTTCACTAGTCTACTAGTATCCATGGGGGTTCTTAAGGATGTCTCTGCTATACGTGACCCATTTTCTTTAACAATCTCAATTACGGGTTGTCCCCATGCCCCGTCCGGTATGAGCACCAAATTATTAAACCTCAATATTCCGTCCGGTATGAGAGTGAAGTAGGTCGTCTGGTAAATTACCAAGTCTCCATACTCTGTCTGGTATGAGACAACGTTCACAGTAGAGTTCTCTATGTACCGGGTCCGTCTACCATCTCCCAAGATATCTAGTAAGACTGTCGTTCTATCTGTTTATTTAATCACACAACTTTTTTATTTTTCTTTTGTCTTCATTTTCTAAATCAACCATAATCACATAAGCAAACAAACATGCATCAGAGAATGCAATCATATCTCAACTTTTTAATCAAACAATAGTCACGTAAGGCAACAATTCATGCATTCAAACCATAAAATTGATAAACCAGATATCATCATGCTTTTTAGACTGTAAAATAAATCAATAGAAATTAACAGAGAATAATTTTCGGTTCGGGCTCCATTAGCAATCTATAATTAATTATGTACATTTATTTAATTTACACAAATACCATATTATTTTTTGTTTAGATTTTAATTATATAATAGAGAATAGGGTGAGGGATCCTTACTCGATTTGACACCCGAAAAGCTCAAATATTTACTGTACTTACGGACGGTCCTTGGGTTCCCTAAATTTTTTTTCGGGATTCAAAATGTGTTAATAGTACTTACAAATGTTTCAAACAAACCCAAAATCAGTCTTAGGGCCCACTCGGCCAATTTCAAAATTCTAGCACGCCACTGCGACGGTCCGCCTTAGGTCAGCTGTTTTCAACCGATTTTGCATCGATCCCTGTGAGAAAACACGTTAAAGGGTCTTGGTTGGTTGAAAAAGTATAAAAAATCGAAACTCACCAGCGGTGGGGCTCTCTGGTGCGGCGGCTCCTCCAACTCACGTTGCAGTTGGGTATTTTGTTCTGATCAACCTGTAGAGAAGAACATGATGATCATAATGGTGAAAAAATTACATAGAATGGGAATCGGGAAGGGCCTCATCGGAGGCATTTTGTAAAATTTCCCGCGGCAGCGCTTTCGGGCTTCGCCAGTGTTTTTTGGCCAATTGGCCAGTTTTTTTACTCCAATTTGGCTATGTGTGAGCTTAAAATTGAATTTCGTGCAAAAAGAAAAGTTTTTACCTTTTTTTGCGGTCGGAAAGGGTTCCAGTGCGGCGGCGGGTAGCGGCGGTCTGCTCTCTGACGGCTAGGTTGTCTTCTTCGGCGAGGGGGTCTGGAGCTAGGGTTAGGGTTTGGTGCGGATGAAGGTTATTTATATCCGTCCGCTTTTGATCCAGGTCGTCCATCGCGTTTGATCTAGATCGTCTGATTGCGATTAAATAAGGAGCGAATTTGGACCGTTCATCGCGATCCAATCTGAGCCATCCATTGTGATCCACTATAGGTCGTTCGATCGCATTTGAATCTGGCAGTTCGATCGCATTTGGGAGGGAGCGCATCTAGGTCGTCCGTGTGCGCGGGAACGGACCTAGATCGTTTGATTGCGGGCACGCAAATTGCCCGCGTGGCACCGCGTCAGGGTCCGTTGTCACGTGACGCGTTTTGGTTCGTGGGGGCTGCTAACCGGATGTTCTATGTGGCAGAACTTCTCTAAATTGCACTTTGATTCTTAGTTTTTGATTTTTTTTAAAAAAATACTCATAGAACCCAAATTTTTACACTTTTTCCTAAAATTATTTCTAATTTCATTCTCATACAATTTTTACTTCATTTTTATCCCAAATAAAATAAAATAAAATACAACAAAATAAAATAAATTAATAAAAAAGTATATTTATTAATTATTTAATTATACCAAAATTTTATTTATTTTATTTTATTATTTTCTTTTTTTTTTGTGGGTGTTACACACTCAAAATAAAAAGTAAATGAAACTCTCTCTCTCTCTCTCTCTCTCTCTCTATCTCTCTCTCTCTCTCTATATATATATATATATGAGAAGAATATATTTTTATGTGGTGTACTTATTGTGGGAGATGAAGACATTTGGTGTTTATTATTTTACGAAGGATGTATCCTAACATCTAAGTCATGCTACTCAAAATGAGACATGCACTTAAAATGATATAGTTTTTTTCAAGATCATAATGTACATATATATATATATATATATACACGCACACACATACACATATAATATATTTTTTCCTTAAGATATTCAAATCCCACAAAAGTAAAGGAAGATCAGAAGATCAGAAGAACAACAATGAAATCTCTTTTTTTAGCTTTGTTTGATTCCAATTCCATTTTATTAAATTAAGTGCTTGCCAACAGACAAAGGAGGACCGACCCATCTTCCACCATTCCTCACGACATAAGAACAACTATATATTATTACACATTAAATAATTACACATGTTAAATAATATTTTTTTAAATTTTTTTTACATGAATAATATGGTTGTTTAATAATTAACACTCACACATTTTATTTAAAATTTATTATAAATGTAAAGTATTTATTAATTGATATATTTAATTTATAAAATATAAAATTTATTATCATATATGATTAAAGTTACGA